TTGGTCTTGTTCTTGGTTTCGTAGAAATGCAAGACCAAGCCAAGACCGCAAGAACAAGAGTAATTCTGCTCATCACTATTCGCATAATATCGCGGCTCTTTCACTGGCGTCGGCAACGGTAAGCGGGCGCGGACAGGTTCGTCAAGTGCGGACAACTGGAAGAAGTCTCGACGTATCATTCAAGGCGGATCTTCGTCGGCCGTGTGGCACTTGCTGGACTTTGCACCGTGGCGTATGNGCACTTGCTGGACTTTGCACCGTGGCGTATGGCACGCGGAGTTGGTCAGTCAAATACTCTCAGTAGGACAACGGCTGATAAAAGTGGTACGGTACGCGGGGCATTGTTTATCGCTAAGCGGCGCGGGCCGTGTCACTAGCTAAAGATTTCAAAACGATTTATTTTAATAATAAACACTGTGTATTTATATAATATATACACGTTTTGAAAAACTTATCATAAAATTTATATTTATTTTTAGAAATTAATTAAAAAAGTTAGTATCGTCCCTTTATTGTATTTTTTCTGTTTTAATTAAGTAATGGTAGATTTATTTTGTAATTAATTTCAAATACTTAAACAATGCAATTATTTTAATTTGGATTTATTATCAAATTGTTACTAGAAGTAGTTATGTCATATAATTATTTTATTAAATGTGTAATTGAGAAGGTGGAAGTGATAAACGCAATAATTTATAAAGTATTTTATGCTTAACTATTTCGAAGAAATTAAAACCATTTTTCACTGAAATTCATGTAAATGGGCTCATGTCACACTTTTATTAAAATTTATTTTTTGTTATCTTTCAATTCTAACAAGTTTTACACACATATTCATACTTTAAGATACTCGTGTGAGCAGTCTATGTTAATAAAATCGTCATATAATAAACGTAGTTGTATGTTATAAAGTCATCAGTGCAGGACTGACATCTTTTTTGCATAAAACAAGTGTCTTTCGCTAATAGTACTAGTTGTCATCAAATCAGTTTTTATCACTTTATCAATCTATTTTTGTTTACTGAAATGTTGTTTTGTTGATTCACGTTTTACAGAATTTTCAAACTATTTCAACATAATAGAATAAAAGTTGATAATATAGTTTTTAATAAATAACCACACTTCAGTGACCAGGGAAACTTGTGATTTGATTATGGACGAATCAACATTAAACACAAAAAAAAAAGAATGGTTTCAAACAAGACAATGCGGAAACGAAATAATAAATAGTAATAGCACATTGTGTATCATTAAAAACATACTCTAAGCTCTTTTCTCTTTCAGATGCAAAAGTAGTGCTAACATTGTATACTTTTAGCTGAGACAGAGTTGATTTTCAATCAATGAACAACTATTGCTTATAGCCAAGTCTTCAAAGAACGGTCGTAGAACTCACATCAAATATATTATTCCACCCAAAACATTGCTATTAGTAAGAAAATATATCGAAGGTGTGCCTTATGAAAGTAATTGGTTCGGTTATAAAATATTTGGATGAAGGGTTAAATATTCAAAATGTTTAAAAATACGCACCCTGGTTAGAGAATCGGTAAAACAGCTTTTTAAATTATTATAAATACCAGTATGACTTAAAGTTTGGACCACCACAGGTTGATATATACAGTACATGCGTGGTATTGGATGTGAAGATAAAAAATTTTAAGCGTGTTGCTAAAAAAATAGTTCTTAAACGAACAGGTTAAGAAGTTTTATAATTAACTCAAAAATGACACTGAAGAGTAAAACCTTAAAATCCTATTGTTATCTTTCGACTTTATGCAAAACCTGACTGTTCCATTAAACCCAATGCAAGAAATCTACTATTTGTGTACTTAAGTTACAACAATCGATCATTTTTCTTCTTGACATAGGAAAATTATTATTCGAAGTTCATAATTTGGATTTATTGAAATTTTAAGAATTATCTTGTTAAATATCTATCGTTATAATTTGATAAAAACAAGTCTTTATTCAGATGAAAACTAATTAAAATATTTTTATCTGAACCTAACCTACTAAAATTAAAATCGTATTTATTTTAGCTAGTTATTTTGTGTATCTATGCTCTACACTGGTTATGGACTAGATCTGAATAAGATAAGAATATTTAAAAATATGTTCATTCTTAACTTCGTAAGATATAAATAACCCTTATAACATTTAAAACTATCATTTCAATGCATTATTTATTTATATTTACGTATTCTTAAAATACGTTAAAAACATATAATTTAATACGGATTTCGGAACANAAGAATATTTAAAAAAATGTTCATTCTTAACTTCGTAAGATATAAATGACCCTTATAACATTAAAAACTATCATTTCAATGTATTATTTATTTATATTTACGTATTCTTAAAATACGTTAAAAACATATAATTTAATACGGATTTCGGAACGATGAATCGGAAAAGATATTTTTTCATCCAAACAAAGATAAAATTGAAGAATTATTTTTTAATTTTAATTTTTAAAATGATGAATTTTTTAAATTGATAAATTAATATAAATAAATTTACCGATAAATTTATTGAAAAATTAATTATTAAGCTAATAACAAGACTGACATATAGAAAGTTGTATACGTGTAATATAAATGAAAAAATATTAATGTATCATCAAGGTAAATTAATTATAAATGAATTGTTCACACTGTTAATAACAACTGAATATGCTACGACGATTTGTGACGTGTTTTATTTTACATTACGTAGTACGCCATGAATTTATCAACCACTTAATTTTGCAATGAGAAAAAAATAACGAATTTTTTAATTTAAACTTTATTACTTGACATAGGTATTTTAAAATAATAAGTGTATTTCTCATACATTACGTATAAAATCAATTAATCAGAATGAATTATAACATATTTATATTTATCTTGGCAGTGAACGTTTCGAGTGAACACAAAAAGTATGATAAAGGGTATGCAATTAATTTTTTAAATTCATTTTTACAAAAAAACAGGTGGGAACTTTTATCAGAGACAAAAGTGTATGACCATCTAAGCAGGTCTTGGATTCACACGCATAAACTACTAATAAATAAACATTATTGTTGTAAAGGTTCGATCGTCGATAAAAATAATGTTAATCAAAAGTTAAGAGAAACAATGGTACTTATTAATCATGAGTACATAAGAAGTTTGTCTTGGATCGTGTATCATTTACAACATATTTTAAGTGCTTGTTTTGTGAAAAATTTTATTAAGGCTTCAAAAGATTACCCATATTGTATGAGTTTATTATTACCAAATATTGAGAATTCTATAAAACTAATTTCACGTTTTATTAGTGCAATACATTTTCTAATGAATTTGTTAAATATTAAAACCAAACCATTTGCTTTAGATGAATTAATAAAATTTGTTGGATTGATAAGCAGAGAAATAAATGAAAATGACAATGAATATGTGAAACGAATTTATTATAAATTCTATGACGAGTACGAAGAGAGATATTGTAATTTTATCAAAATACTTCGAAATTATTGCATTGATCAAAGATATACTGTTAATTGTGATGTGGATGATCTTAATAGGTATATAAAGAAAAATAATAAACCTAAAACGTTTGAAATGTATGAATTTATAGAAGTTACCTTAAGAAATGGTATAGAAGATAAGGAAAAAAAATTTTATTCTAATCTGGGCTTTTTTTATGATGAAGTAAAACATGAAACTTCTTATGTTTATGAAAATAGAAAAAAAAAGTTTTTTATATATAGCCGATAAATTGTTAAAGACACTGTTTCTCTAACAAACGATATGTGTGAAAATTAAATAAAATAATTCCATATGTTTATATTATATTATATATCATTGGGTTTAGTTAGCCTTTTAAAATGTATCATCTAGACAAACTTAGTAAACGTATAGTAGGTAATGTTGTAGTATAGCACAATAATAATTTCTTTATGTCATTGATTATTACTCTAGTAAAAATTAAATATTTAATACTTATAATAAAGTGTATATACGATGTAAAAGTTATCGTATGAGATGCCCAATTTTAGCTATAAAGTAATCTTATAAAAGTTTAAATGAATTATATAAAAAAAATTATGCCATTTTATACTAACATAAAACAAATAATACATTAGACTTAATTATCTGGATGGCGTCTTGTTGCCTCTTATGTTCATGAATGGAAAATTGAAAATAGAAAAAAAATTTTTTTTTAACTTTTAAATTGTTAAAGTCACTGTTTCTCTAGCAAACGATTTTTAATATATTTGAAAATTAAAAAATAAAATAAATCCTTAGGTTATATTTCTTTATGTTTAGTCAGTTTTCAAAATAAACACGTATAATATGTTTTTTGTTACATGTAATCAACATTACTTATAATAATTTTAAATCTTTCATTCAACATTCAGTCTTTCAACTTAAATCCCAATTAATAAAATAGCCTCCCAAAAACAAAAACAAATTATCATCGTGATAAGAAGTCGCCCAGCTGACCACTAAAGTAACTAAAAATAATGAATACTATGTCTAATAATACGTAAAATACTGTCAACTATGTATGCACTGATTTCGCCTTTGTTTTCTGTTCCGGTTCACGTGTATTGTTGCCGTAAAGTGCTCTACCCGTTTTGTTCAAATGTCTTTTTGGCCTGGTCGTAGAATCATTTTCTCCAGCCATCATTCTCGTTTTTCATTTTGGTATACTTACATATTCATGAGTGTCCAACTTTTACTTTTGGCTCTGAAAATCGAGCTATGGGTTAAGACTTTGTTGGCTACGGCTCAGATATCATTGTATTACATTTGTGGTAACATTGTACAGCATTCCCTTCCTTCTTTATTACGCCCATTTGTTTTTTCTAAAAAAAAAAGAAAACACATTATAGTAAAACCAATACCTTCTCAGCTTCGCATCGAAGCTAAAATAAAAATCGCTTTATCATCTATCATTTTGCTAAATGAAATTCAATCTAAATTCAATTTCTAAAGAATTATTATTTCTAACCTTAAATTAAACTAGACGTGAAAAACCTGTAATGTGCAAACAATGTTTATCTCTGAATTAAAAAAATACGCTACTAGGTGTTAGGGTCAAGTAGCATAATTATATACAATAATGAGAATATATAGCAAATTTTATTTTGGATTGAAACATCTGAATGTCGAAATGTTCATATATAATTTAATTTAATAAATGCCGTTTATTAAATGAGCGACAACAGATTATTTTAACAAAAATAAAACAAACCGAAAAGATAAACACAGTAATAATAATCTTCGCATAATATCGTGGCACTTTCGCTGGTGTGGACAACGCGGTGTCCAACATGATCCTTGGACGGCAAAAGGTGAGCAGCGTTGTAGACGATGGTGCGCGGGTGCGGATCGGTTGGTCGACGTTGTCGCTTTCACAACGGGAGGAAGACACTCTCATCATTTTCGGCGGGTCGTCGTCGGCCGTACGGCAATATCCTGGACTTTGCACCGTAGCTTATAATACGCGGTGTTGGTCAGTCAAATACTCATAGTAGGGCGACGGTTGATAAAGGTGGCACAAGTCGCGGAGCATCGTGTATAACGAAGCGACGCGGGCCGTGCCACATTTTTTGTAAAACTCGCAATTTCAATTCTATGAAATGTAGAGATTAGTGGATGTAGTGATTTATACAACTTAGAATTTCTTATCACACATGAGTCTTAAAACTCACAAAAAAATGGTCTTGAGTGATACAATATACTAGGGGTGATTGGGGCACATTTGAATGTGGGGTAGATTTGAATTGATTATTAACATTGTAATGATCTCATAACGTGTATTTTATTTTAAAAAAATGGTAAGATATTATGTTAAAAGAAGAATAGTGAATGTTGCTATAAAAAACTATAATAATTTTTAATTGATATAAGTACTCATCGGATAAACCAGCAGGTCCAATGAACCAGTTATCACGCAAGTCAGATAATTGTTTATAAACATTATCAACAGTAAAGTTAACATTATTAGGAAAATTGAAGGGCTTGGTACCTAACGAGGAAGTATCGAGATTAAGTTGATTATCGGAGAAAACAAAAGAGAAGTACATAGAAAACAAATTGGCCACTCGTTAGTAGAGGTAGTTTCTCTATAGGACACCTCCTTAGGAATTGCATTAAAAGACCTTTTGTTTTTAATGAACTTCCAGTACGCAACAGGGTTACTATTTAAAGACGATTATATACGTTTAACATATCTATGTAAACATTTTTTGGATTCATATTTAAATCGAGCTCGAAGCAATGAAAATTTCCTATAGTCGTGAGCATTCGAGGATGTCTTGGATTTAATATGTGCCTTTTTCTTTAAAAACAAGATATTTTTTAAGACATTCTATTTTAACACAAAAATAGCATATTATTGAATACTGTAGTCGTTTTCACCATGAAGACAACCCAGAGGATAATTTTTTTTTTCAAATGAAAAAATATTACATAAATTTTACTTTAAGATATATAAATAAACGTGTCAGTATTTCTGGAACACAATTTCAAAAATTAAATTGAAGATGACCTAGTTTCAATACGCATATTTAATGTTTTGACCCCCCTTGTATAAAGGTATATCATCCGATTTAAAAAAAAAGTAAGTCAGATGAAAGGGGTACATAAAAAGTATTTACGCAAAAATAATAATATTGTTCCATATATTTTTCCAAAAATTATAGCAATATACATTTAAAAATATAAACTATAATTTCGAGAATTTTTTCGAGAAAATCCTACGTTTTTCATTAATTTTGATGTTCGTTTAAACCATGAAGACAAGTCCAGAGGTCAATTTTTTTTTTCTATAAAAGTAAATTACATAAGTTTTAATTTAAAGTATATATAAAAATGTTAGTCTTTTCGGATTATTTTCAAAAATTAAGTTGTCAAAAATTAATTTAAAAAATGTCGAAAAAAACTGTAATTTTTTGGGTATCTCTCCTATTTACGGGAAACGAGGGAATTTTTTTCAATTTTTGAAGGTAATATCCTGTGACTAAATACGATTTGTGTTCTTTTGACGTATTGTTCATCAAAATCGGACCAGCGAGACCTGAGATTGAGCGCTCATAGACACAAAAAAAAAAAAAAATTTTAAAATTGAACAAAAAAACTCATTATGATATAATTAATACCTTCTTGGCTCCACATCGAAGATAAAAGTAGCCATACACAAAATAATGTAATATATAGATTTATTTATCACATATATTAAAAATCGTTTGATACAGAAACAGTACCTCTAAAAGTTTTTTTTTCTTTTTATAATTTTCAATTCACGAACATACAAAGTTTCAGTTTTTACATTGTCATCAAAAAAAGCCCAGATTAAAGTATTATGTATTCATTACGTTTAGAATACCTTGTCTTAAGTTAACTTTTACAAATTCATACATTTCAAACGTTGAAGGTAAATTATTATCATTTTTATATCTTCTAAAGAATACATACTATAATTTATACTAATATCGTGTTTATTAATAAAATAATCTCGAACTATATTGTTCAAATTAAAATCATTCCCTTCATACTCGTCTTTGAACTAATAATTTAGTCCACATATGAATTGTCATTTTCATTTATTTCTCTGTTTATCAATTCAATAAATTTTATTAATACGTTTAAAAAAAATGAGTTAGTTTTGATATTTGACAAAGTCTTTATGAAGTTTATTGCTCTGATAGAACGTGTAATAAGTTGTTCGGAACTCTCAATACTTGGTATTAATACTTTCACACAATGTGCGTGACATTCTAAAGTACTTACATTTTTCTTTACAATTTCGTTTATTAGATATAATCATTTTAAGTTTCTAATTTTTGAGTTAATGTACAGGTATAATACACAAGGGATTACAAATACAGGTAGCTAATTGATTTTTAATGACATCGATATTTGCAGGTACACAACATTGTTATTATCAATGATAGTAAGGTACATTGTTGTAAGTTTATAAATACACTAACTGACAATACAAAAAGTATATCTATTGATAGTTATAATTGATAATAAACAATCCGTGACTCTGACAGCAATGTCATAAAAAACCAATTAGCTACCTGTATTTGTAATACCTTGTGTATTATACATGTATATTAACTAAAAAATTTGAAACTTTAAATGATTATATCTAATAAACGAATTAAGTTATATTAAAAATTAAAATGTCATTTACTATCAAATTAAAAACTCAAACATTTTATTTAATTAAAAATATGTGTTACCGTTTAAAAAAACAAAGTTGACCCCCTTACAAGGCATAAGGGATGAACTTAAAAAGTATTTTTTAGTTAATAATTCAAGAATAATGTGTAACTAAAGATAATAATAAAAAAAAATGTTAAAATTATTATTATTCTATAAGTAATTGAGTGGGTTATGTTAAAAAAATCACCCTGTATATACATTATCTAAATTTCAGTCTTCTTACCATCCAAATAATTATTTATTGTAATAAAGTTAATTGATTAATTAATTCAAATAAAAATTAACTATTTCATATTAAAAATACATCATTTTAAAACTTAAAATTAAAAACTAATTCGTCATTTTCATCATTGTTTGAATGAAAAATTTTCCTTTCTTATTTATGGAACCAAAATCCGTATTAAAAAAAAACCCAGCACAGTGGGGTCGCAGCATAGTAGGGACATGGCATAGTTGGGTTCAGTATAGATTTAATCTGACAGTGATTAAAATCACTATCCTAAGAAACGCTTCGATNTAAAATCACTATCATAAGAAACGCTTCGATGCAAATCTGTAGATAGTCTTTAATTCTTAAAAATTGGTGAGTAATTATTTTAATTTATTTAAAATATTTTATGTAAAGTACATAAAAATATATAAAATATTTACAGATACCTATATTTTATTATTATATAAAATAAAATTTATTTTTTCGTAAAATCATTGACATTATTTTAAACTTCCAAATCTTGAACACAAGAAGTTATTTTTGTTTCCTCATTATATGAAAAGCCAAGATTATCATACTCTCTTGTAGTTTTATACTTAATATGACTTCTGAAGTGAAATTCTACATATCCAAAGCAAATTAAATTTATTTTAAATCCATTTTTTTGGTAAACAAAATTGATTTTATTTTAAACTTCCAAATCGTGAACATAAGAAGTTATTTTTGTTTCTTGATCATATGATAAGCCAAGATTATTATACAGTCAATTAGTATAAGAGTCAATATAATTTCTTAAGTGATGTTTCATATCTTCAAAGTATGTGAACGTTTCAAATTTTGTATTTGTTTTTTTAAATATTTGTAATTTTGTATTATTGAGAAAAAGAACATTATATTCCTTAATATAATGATTTTTGAGGATTTTATACAAATTACTCTCTTTAGAAAGTTTTTTTATTAAATACATTCCTAATATTTTCCAATTAATCAGTTTCATCTTCTTCTGGATTTTTTACNTCCAATTAATCAGTTTCATATTCTTCTGGATTTTTTAGTTTGCTTATAAATATAATAAAAACTTTTAATTCTTCTCAAATAAATGGGTTGGTTTTGATATCTAACAAATTCATTAGGAAATTTATTGCACTGATAAAACGCTATATAAGTTGTTTGGAAATGTCAATACTTGATTTTAATAACTGCCCCAATGAGATGAATATTTTTCATTCTACAATCACAACATATTTCTTTTAAGTGATGCACAATCCATGCAAAACTAATAGTATACTCATTATTAATAAACAAGATTGTTTTTTTTTAGTTTTTAATCTACATTCTTTTTGTTGACGATATTATCTTTAAACATTCATTTATATTGAATAATAGTGTATAAGTTTCAAAATTAATTATGCTTAGGTGGTCATATACAGTTAACTTTGAAAGATTCCATTTATTTTTTTGAATTACAAATAATTTATCGTTTTTTATAGCTGTCCACTAGTTGCATTAGATAATAAGAAAATTATGAATATACAAGTATATTTCATTTTTATTATGTGGTAGAAGATTTATTCCGTAATTATTAAAAACACTGTTATTATTTTAAAATACGTATGCCATACAATTAAATTTTAATAAAAATATAAATAGTTTATTAAGTGATAGCGTAATTATGTAATTTAACAGATAATTTTATCATAATATAATTTTATTAAAATTATACATAAAATATTGAAAGATACCAATAACGTACTTTCATATTAAAGTATTAAATTAAATCAATAAATAAAGTCATGTTACACCATTAAAATAAAAATTAATAGAAAGACTGAATATTGAAATTTATCTAAAATACATAAAAACATAAAAAATATTCACAGATATCTATATTTTAAATTTATATAAAATAAAATTTATTTAAAATTCATTTTTTTTGATAAGCAACATTGAAATTGTTTTAAACTTTCAAATCATGAACATAAAAAGTTGTTTTTGTTTCTTTATCATATGAAAAGCCTAGATTAAAATACTCTTCAGTAGTTTTATTGTTAATATAATTTCTTAAGTAATGTTCTACATATTCAAAGTAAGTAAAGTTTTTAAATTCCTTTTTTTCTTCAATAAAATATTGGAATTTTCCTCTATTGAGAAAATCAAGATTAAATACACTAATCTTTTGACTTTGGAGTATTTCATATAAATTACTCTTGTTAGTGTATTTGTCCTTAAATACATTATTAATAGCCATCAAATATTTTTCGTCATCTGTTTCTTGATTTTCAATTTTGTTTACCAGTGGAATAAAATCATTTAATTCTTGTAAAATAAATGGGTTGGTATCAATATCTAATAAATTTATTAGGAACTTTATTGCACTGATATAACGTATTATAAGTTGTTTGGAAATGACAATACTTGATTTTAATAATTCCACACAATGTGGGAAATCTCTTGTATCTTTATACGAACTACAGTCACAACATATTTCTGTTAAATGATGTATGATCCATGCANTTGAACTTGCTGTATTTATAGATATATAAACTAATAGTGTACTCTCTATTAATAAGCAATATTGTTTTTCTTAGTTTTTCTTCAACATTCCTATAATTAACGTTGGCTCCTTTATAACAATTATTTTTATCAAACAATAGTTCATCAGTACAAAATACATCTTTATTTTGGTAGACCAAAACTGGCCTATTTGCAATGTTCCACTTGCTACTTTGTAAAAATGAGTTTAAAAATTTAATTGTAAATTTTTTACCTTTTATTTCTGGCTGTCCATTAGTTGCTAAAGATAATAAGAAAAATATGAATGCAGTAGAATAATTCATTTCTATTAGGCGGTAGAAGATTTATTTCGTAATTATTAAAAACATTGTTATTATTTTAAAATACGTATACCACGCAATTAAATTTTGATAAAATTATAAAAACTATTTCTCATTGAAAATATAAATGGTTTATTAAGTGTTAGCGTACTATGTAATTTAAAATAAACCACGTCATAAATTGTTGATACGTTCTTAGTTTTAAAAATTATTAACAGTGTGTTTCATTCATTCATAATAAATTTACCCGGTTAAAATAATTATATTTATTCGTTTGTGTTTTAAAAAATATAACATCAAACTTTAAATATCTTTACTAGCTAATTAAAATATCACAAATTCGAGAATTTTTATAATTTTATCTAAAAATATTTTTATTAACTAGCAATTTCCAATCATTGGTATTATTTACTCCTATAAAACTATGGATAAATATGATTATATAGTTATTTTGTTCATAAATGCATCATATAATTAAATGAAATTACTATAATATTTATATATATTTATTTACAGTTGATCTTGATATTATTTTTCTAATGTTTTCACCAAATTTGTTAAAT